TCTGGGTCACGAGGAAAGCCAGGTCTTTCTCATATAACATTTTTTGTGGGCTTAGTAATTAGGAAAATTTGTATTTTATTATTACAATCATTACGTTATGTGAATTTAACGTAAGTAGGTTCGAGAATATAAATAGATTTTGAATATGAACTGGTCTGGCTCTACTTGAAATTAACTTTTTACCTATCACTCACTGACATCCGTGGCAGTATGGCCTAGAGGTAAGATGTTGAAAATATACGCTGCGCTGCTCTGATTTGATTTCTTCTACAGTGTTGATGAGTCCCAAATGAAGTAGAGAGGGTAAAACAGACCAGCCTCTATAAGAATACCTTATGGGAGGCAAGTTTAAGTGAAATTCAATGGCATCGTTTAGCCTACTCATCTAGTGAGTATATTTACCTATCAGTCATCCATCACCTTATGCGACCTAGGCTGACTACAACTAATGATCTACTAATAATATCTATATTTAATTAATATAATATACAAGAGCAAATGTGCACGAATACAAGCTTGGCTGAATTATTCATTCTACCTATGTATTTTAGCTACTTTAACCTCCCCACAAAGGATTTGTCGAATTCACCTGCTCTGAAAGAGACCAGCTTGTCAACCTCTTGTTTCCTCGATTTGTCAAGACATCCTAGCTTGCTGATGGTGCCAACCAAGCCATTTTGGGGCTCACCTGTCTCCGACTCCCGCTATCCAACTCCCTCTTTACTTTCGGTTAATGCTGCTTCTGCCTCTGATGCTAGCACTGCCAGACCTGGCAGAATTGCTTCCTTCCCCTCTATCTACAGTCCAGGTGATGCAAATGATGTTATCAATTCGGAAAGTGAATTTGCGGCTGACTCCGAAAGCACGAGCCAAATTGCAACAGAATCCTATTGTTCTAACGCTGACAATGATGTTAGCAAGTGTACTTTATCTTCACGGCTGAAAGAACCTGTGCCATCAGATATATGGGAAGAGAACCGGCTAATTTCAATGAATCTTCACCCGACCAAGACAATCAGACCTACTTCGGAACAATTAGTATGCGCAAATGATTTAGGAAATACATTATCTCACTCACAACAGTTTCGACAACCAATCGTTTAGAATAGACAATACTGTTGTGCTTTGCCTTATATTTCATATATTAATATTTCTGGTTAATTTCAGCAGTACTATAAACCTCCAACACCATTAAGTCAAAAATAGCAAAGTATTAAATGAATGGCAGACGCGTCTTAGCTTACATTTAATCATTCACTCAGATAATTTTTAGCGTTTGAGTTGACACGTTTGAAAGTTTCGTCATCAAATATATGACATCATTAATGTCTTCAAGAAATAATTGCTCTATCTTGAACCTTTTTATCTCGTTAATTTTGCAGGGATAAGGTCGCAGTGAAGTCCACTTCTAACAAAAACTCTAGCTAAGGAAGAATATTTTATAGTTATTTTGTTCTGGGAGAATCAGGTCCCGGAGTTTAAGACTAAGTGATCTCTGGTGTTCTTTCAACTCATTCTGTCAAGTAAACAAAGTACTTTGATCATAAAGTTCTTAAAATAAATAACTTAAGAAGGTACACCAATACTTTGCTTCACAAATGAATAATAAAACGCAGATCCTGGAAGCGTAAGGGAGCAAAGTAGTTATTTTTAGACAATTTAAATAGAGCAAATATGTAGGAAAACTGTTTCGAATAATTTCTTCATAGATAATTTAGAAGTATCTTTAATTTCGTTTAAAGACGCGGGTAGAAGGGATTCGTAAGTTCGCCTCACCAGAAGCTGTAGGGGGATGGCCTTGGAACTAACTGTAGATTTGTGCTAATTAACCCTCGGCGCACCGCCCTGCGACCCTGACGAATTCTTTCTGAACTCGCGACCGTCATATAACGAACGTCGACAAAGTAGGACACCATGCTTAACGATAATTCACCAAAACACGAAAAGGACAATGGTGGCTGGCTGCAAGCCTACCTACTTCTTATAGTCCAACTTAGCTCACTTAATGAAGCTTCTCATGATTTGGTTGGATTGCTTGCCTAAATGTTTTCTGAGAAGTTAAGTGGCTGCGGTTGACTTGTGAATTGGCTGCAGATGAAGCGTGAAACGGATGCAATTGTGAT